AGAGAGAGAGAGAGAGAGAGAGAGAGAGACAGAGAGAGAGAGAGAGAGAGAGAGAGAGAGAGAGAGAGAGAGAGTGTGAAGGTCTCACTATGTAGCCTTGAATGACCTAAATCTACTCCTCCTGTCCCAGCTATCCCAGTGCTGAGATTGCCAGCAGACAGGAGATTCCTTGCAGTCATATTGTTTTGTGCTCTTTTGTAGGTTAAGAAGAGTTTTTGTCCTTTAGTTGGGGGAGGGTCAAAATAAGCAAAGTTTTAAGTCAATACTATGCAGCATCTTTCCTAGTGAACATATCTGTGGCTCAACCATTATTGCTGTGGGTGTTCCAAACGGCTATGAGAAGCAGCTGGTGGAGAGCATTAAAGACAGGATGTGTCAGATATTCAGAAACATGCAAACTACATCTATTTTTATAAAACAAGCTATTTCTCAGTTGAAAGGAAATTAAGTAGGAAAACTCCAAGTTCTTGCATGACCAATGAAATACGTAAAGGATAACTAAATATTTATGTTCTGAGTTTATCAAAGAAAATTAAAATTTTAATTTATAACATGAAAGGGATATCAGATTTTTAGATAACCATAAGATAAATGTCATTATTATAGCTAAAAGAAGTTGCTTTCACTATTGTGAACTTTCAGGTGCAGTTTAAGGAGTTTGATGGAAGATGGAATTCTATAAAAGCTGCAGTGATGACTAAACTCAGGGCTTGTATGTGCTGGCAGAGGGAAATGTAGATTTCTTGAATTAAGTGGCATACCACACTTTTGGAAAGGGATGCTGTCAGTCAGTAAAGCACTGGAGACTAGTCAGAAAGACATTGATTGTGACTGGTTCCTTACCTGATAGACAAACCACTGACAGAAAGCTGGAGAGACCCATTCCCGTGCATGAATGCCACAGTCAATGAAGATAGCCTTTCTTTCTTTACCTTTCCTCCCAACCTGTTGAAATAAGGGATTATTTTTCTTTTCTTTTCTTTTCTCTGTGTAGCTTTGGAGCCTCTCCTGGCACTTGCTCTGGAGACCAGGCTGGCCTCGAACTCACAGCGATGTGCCTGCCTCTGCCTCCCGAGTGCTGGGATTAAAGGCATGCACCACCAATGCCCGGCCTAAGGGATTATTTTTCATTAGCTCACATATTAGTCCCTTGTCATTCAGTAGTTCATTTTCTCAAACAATTATTTTCCTTGTCTATTGCTGAACATGAACCATGCTTATGCATTCTGTCCCCAGGGAAGATGATGGCAGCTATACTGTCTATACACAATTCACCACCTGTTACAGGACAAATTTTTTTTTTCAAAATTTTCTTTTCAAGGTTCAGTGCTGCTTTTAGGGTTTTATAAAAGCAGAAAAACGATACAGTCAAGGCTTAGAGAGATAGCTCAGCTGTTAAAGCACTTGCTGCTCTCAACGAGGACCCGAGTTCTGTTCCCAGCACCCATATCTAGTGGCTCACAACCACCTGGAACTCCAGCTGGGTACCCACACTCACATGTATATATTCTTATGTCATGTGTAGTCACCCAAACAAACACATCCTTAATAAATAAAACACATCTTCAGAAAATGAAATTTGGTGTCAGTGAGAAGGCTCAGTGGATAAAGGCACTTGCTACTAAGCCTAATGACCTGAGTTCAATCTTTAGGGCCTACATGAAAGGAAAGAATTGACTCTGAAAGTTGTCCTCTGACATTTACATGTGCCACGACATGAATTCAAACACACACACACACACACACACACACACACACACACACACACACACAGAGCAAACTAAACCTTGCATTAGAAAATAATATCCATGTTCCCTCAAAAATAAAATAGCAACCACACTACATATTGTTTTTCTTACTCCATTGCTAACTTTCTGTGCTGAGATAAGGATTGTAAAGCTAGCTCATAAAATAGAAACATTTAGCCTGGAGTGAGGCCCATTGGGGTACAGGACCAGTACCTGATATTTGAAGGGCTTCAATTTTAAATGGAGTTCAGATTCGGTTTGGGTGGTTGGAGAAGCTGATTGAATGGAGATATAGGTTGTGAATGCCTTCCCAGTTATTAGTGAGCTGCCCAGGGAGTGGAATCTTTGGGTATACAAAGTCTGGCAGGAGTTGAGTGGTCATTCCTGCATTGAACCTGAGCTCCTTTGCCTGACTACTGTTCTGGTGTTACACAGCATGATATTTAACTTTTTCATCATGACATTCATTCCCCAGTTTCATTCCATTTTAATGGACCAGGAAGGAGTCCTTGTGTAGACAAGGACCCTGAAGACCATTGTAACAGAGCTATCCTGTGGAATATTCCTTGGTTTGCTCACTTATGTAATCTCTAGCAGGTGCACGCTCCTATTTTTTTTTTTTTTATTGCATGGATGCATTGTATTATATGTTCTTGGTGGACATCCAGAATTTAAAATATTCGAAAAATAACATGTTTTCCAATTTCAAATTTAGCTCAACTGCCACAAAGTGACTTTTGTGTCCATGTTTTAAATTAACAAACTAATTAATCATTTTTTGAATTTTACCTTGAGAACATATAATGGATTATCTTCAACAGTTGATCCAATTTTAATTCTTGACACCATTTCAGGATGTTTTGCTACCATTTTTTCAGTCCAAGAAACAATCTTAAGAACAAAAATCAAATTTGAAGAATTAAAATACAGGAAAATTGCATAACAACAGAAGAAGACAGTCATTTCAAAAGACTGTAATAGGCGTTGTATACCATACCTTGTCCCAGTCATTGTATTTTCCATAACTGTGCCTGCCTGAGACTTCATCTTTCACATCAAACTGTTTCTCTATCTCTTCTTGTAGATCATGTATCAGGATTCTGTTTGACAGCAGAATGATAAAACACATTTATCACATGAACATTTTGTCATAGGAAAGAGAACATTTTATCTTTCGTTTGCAGGAAAATGCCTCTTCCTCTCCTCTATCTGGAATAAAGCCCACTTCCTCATCTCTCTGTCTTCACCATTTCCTTTGGACAAGTAATTGTAGGGCTTCTGATTCCCCTTCTACCTGAGCTATGCTGACTTTTACAGTGGCTCTGCACTCTTTCTGCTAGTCAGAACCTAAAACTGCCTTGCCGAGAAGCAGAGATTGTAGTAAATGTATATTATGCATGATATTTAGAAGAAGTTGTATGTAAAATATCTCACTAATAAGTTTTATATTGCTTATATGCTTAGATAATAACATTTGGCAGATATTCAGCTAAAAATTAATTATACCTATTGCTTTCCCCCTTACAATGAAATCCTGGCATGTTTGAAATCATACACCCGACTCATACCATACCATCATAATGCTCCTGGCCTCCAAAGTGCACACAAGCACATCTATAGCACACAGGCAGCAGTGGTTATTCTCATTCACAAATCTACAGAACAGACTTCATTGTGTTAGCTTTTGAAATTTGGAGAGAAGCTTGAATAATAACAATGGTGCTAACAAAACTGGGGACTTAGCACAAGCCAATTATTTCTCTAAACTTTTATGTTCATTTAGTCACTTCATCTTCACAAGGGATTTTTAACCTCATTCTACTGATGGGAAAACCTAAGGCACAATGTGTTCAAATATGCTGTCTAACCATAGAGCCAGAATATGTGTGGCTAGGGTGCTTCTGAGGAGGCAAAAACAAGAGGAAAAAGTCATTGGGAGGGTGACACTGTTGGGATCAAAAGGCATAAGCCTTTTGATGCCTCCACTTTCAATTTTCATCTCTTCTTGGGTCAATTCATGTCACTATTCCAAGATCTTATAGACTGAAAAATTATTGGCCACCCAAAGTCTGCCTTGTATTTAATTTTCAGCTCTGACCTCTCTCCCGAACTACTATCAAACACATCAAACTAACTACCCTTAACTTTTCTTTTGTACTCTGTCCTAAATTTGTTTATCATGGGCTAGATTCCGATTAATATACATTATTCAATCCTGTCAAGCCTATCACCATTTAACTTAATTAAATTTAATTAAAGGAAATTATTGCTCAGAAATATTAAATGCTTATAATTTATAATGTTTTATACATTTATTTATTTATTTATTTATTGTGTGTGCATGTGTGCGTGTGTGTGTGTGTGTGTGTGTGTGTGTGTGTGTAGATCAAGGGCAACCTGTAGCAGTCAGTTTTCTCTTTCCACATGGATGAGTGGGACCAAACTCAGACAGTCAGACTCATTAGCAAACCACTCACCCAACCATGTTGCCAACCCTCTAATCCAAACAACTTTAGCTTTCTTTCAAAAGTGCTATTATGCACACAAATATTTTAATGCACTAATGTTTGTGGATTTACTGCCCAGGTTCATGAACTTATTTTTGAACTCATGTAGTAGGAAGTTGTATTTATGTATAATAAAATCTAATGCTGAAAAAAGTGCCTCCTTTTTCCTTATTTTCAATAATATCTTTTGCTAATATAGTTTAAGAAAATAAAACTATCAGGAAAGTGTTTTCTTGATAGAAATCTTGATATTAAATCATAGATAAGTTTGAGAAGAATTTTGCTAAAACTGGACTTTCAGATGTTTCAGCAAATTTTTGTATGATTTGATTACTTTTTGTGTATTTTAAAACTAGTCTTGTACATGGCATTTTCTCCAGCAAACTTTTAATTTGGTTATTATGCATATTAAAATATATGTTTTGGTTACACTATGTATTGCCCATTTTATTGGCTTTAAACTTTCATTGGCCTTTTACTTTTGAATTTTAGTTATGTATTAAGAGTTTCCTATGTAATTACTTTCTCTGTGAGTAACTGTATTTTCTTTTTGACTTTTCCCATTACTACTTCTTTGCTTTATTGTGTTGGTTAAAACAGAAAAATAGTAGAAGTGGAAAAGGGCATTTGTTCTTTTTTAAATTCTGTTTGATGGGAAAAATCTGTCTTTCACTATTAAGTATGGTGTTAAGTGCCACTTGGAATTAATATTGTAGGGTATACTTAGACAATCTTTGTATTATTGGTCACTAAGGCAAAGTTGCATTGATGCCTATTATTGATTCCTGACTGTGTTAAATATGATGTTTTAGCTGCAGGAGATTTGCAAGCATCCTATTTTGCTTCTTTTACATACAGTTGCAAAATTCATGTTTAATCTAGAAGGAATGGATAGAATGAGTCTCTGGGGAAATGAATTGCTTAAAAACAAGTTGTATCAGGGACACAGATAAGTCAAGGTATCTGAAACAGGACACAGAGAGCACAGAGGCTCCTTGATATTGGTCAGAATGGCCCAATGCGTCTTGGTAGCTCCTATAACCTCTGAGGATGTCACTCTTATAGCATAGCATGAAAATCATGAATAATGACAATCTTTTACCTGACACCAAGCCATAGTCAACATATTCTTCTCTGAGATAAATAAAGCTGTGGATTATGATAGAAATATTTTAAAAATACTTAAAAGAAAACCTTGAAAATTTATGGCAATGCTCTCTGTGTCTGAATTATGTAATTTCTTGTTGAATCTATACAAAGGCAGTATCCTGCTTTTGCTCATGACATTTTCTGTTTGTGGGTAGCAAACCCTGGATTTAAGGAGGTGCTCATTAAAAAATAGACAGCACCTCTTTTTACTGGTTATCCTACTTATGAAAATCATATTTAACTCACTGTACGCTTAGCACTTTCCTTATAGACTTTGAATTTCTGAGGATGGGAAGGTATAGGAACAGTCTTGGAATTCCATGGGGGCATGTTACACTAAAATTCCCAGGAAACCTGAGGAGATTTGAAAATATGTTTTGCAGAGTTGCTACAGATATAATTAATTGCTTCAACCTTTAAAGAAAATACACAGATTTTATTCCACCTCCTTTAATAGAAGTAGGCTAACCAATAAAAGGAATACAATTTAAGGCAATATTAATCAGTCACAGTAACGTTATATCATATAACAATTTTAGACTTAACAGTGGTTGACTCAGCTCTCATGATAAGAAGAGCAAAAAGGAAAATCCATGTAATTGGAAATGCAATCTTTCCACAAATGCAGCTGCACGAGGACACCATTCTGTTGCTGAAATGCACTGCAAGGTAAGCCTAAGACTGGAAATTATGACCTTGGGCCAGATGTCATTTTACTGAGCACTTCCACTGACCAGAAGCCAGGTTTAATGGAAGGAATCAAATTACTCTTTCAAATATTATTTCCTAGGTTCATTTACTTTTTTGAAAAATGTCCCAGTTCTAAATGTAGGAGAAATGATAAGGAGTTATCATTGGAGATTTAATAATACAAACAGGTGATGTTTATCAAGAAGACTTCATTTTGTGTCAGGCACTGTGAATTTTATCATATCAACATTGTCAGCAATAGAGGTTGTGTATTATCACTCCGTTTTATGGAAGACATTAAATTTATTTTCAAATTATTATTACCTAAATCAGTTGAGCTGGAATTTTGAATGTACATTGTCTAACTCTGTTGGCATTGTCAGAACTATTTCACAGCAGTGTCTTCTTTTCTAGGGTGAGAGCTCTGGGCATGGCTACCTAGTCATAGTCTTCTTGGTCTTCAGAAATTTTTGTAAGGTTTTCTAGTTCTGTTCTCATGGAAGCTTGTCATTCAAAGTCAGTGAGCCCCCACTTGGTTCAGAGATTGGTTCAGTGGCCAGATGACTCCTACTACCTCAATATCAAGGCCACTTTTAGAAAGTATCAAAGAAAGATAACTATGGGCCAGTGTCTAACTGCCGTGTGTGTGTGTGAGAGAGAGAGAGAGAGAGAGAGAGAGAGAGAGAGAGAGAGAGTACAACTCAACTGATCTGGGCTCCCTTGATGCCCATGTTATAGCACAGCTATTTTTAAAATATAATTTTAGATTTCATAGAATTGAATTCGGTGACTTCTTAATTGGGTTACCATGTACATTAAGCTCTGGATTTGCTGACATGAATTCCCTGATGTCTGAGGCATATCATATGTTGAAAACTAAACTTTATGATATAGATTTATTCTCTAGAGAAAGGGAGAACATCTGATAGCCTTCAGTTTTCTGTTGTGCTGAATGTGTTTGTGTGTATGAACTCAAATACACATGCATATAAATGGCCCTCACTCTTCCTGAGCTATAGAAGGAACTAACTATATAAAATCAGTCCCTCCTGGCTAACACCTTGGAAAGTTGCTCCTTTTATTACTCCCATTTTAAATAGTGACAAATATCCAACTTGGATGAGCCTGGACACAGGCAGCTTTGCTTCAGAATATTTTCCCCCTCACTTACTACTCTCCTGTTTTGTTTTTACCATGATCTTCAGCTCTTGCAGCCAAGCTCATGAGTCTGAGCAAATAATATGTACAAGTTCAGAGCAGGAAGAAAAAAAATGGATGGAATAGCTTACCAAGTAAGCCATTAGCTTTATCTGATTGAGACAATTATTTAACAGGGTGGGATTACACATTTTAAAGAATGAAGTTGTATCTGGATGAGTAATATTAGGTAATCAATCATTGACCTAGAATATTGAATGTCATTATGTGAGTTTGTATACGTCTACCTTATATTTCCATGTAGTCTTCTGTAGTTCTTATTACTATTTTATTCTATTGTACCATTTGAGTTTTATTGAATTAATAGCTGGTTTCTGAATTAACTTTTATAAAAAACTTTATTTTCTAATTTTAATTTTTGATCAAAGAAAAGACAATGCTAGAGACTGTCTCAAAGTGAAAAATTCATAAAAAAACATATAGAGTTTTAACTGAGGATTAAAATATGGTTTCTGCCCCTGACACCCAGGCCAGTATATGTATTTTCCATTCAACACCCATTCGCTAGTCTGCTTGGGCTTCTTGTGTATACTTATTATTTGTACTTTGTATTTCGACTGTTATGACTTTGTGAAAGTATAAATAAAAAGGAACTAAGCATGCTACTTTAAAATCAAATCTGTTTCAGTAGCTGAATTTTCTGAAAATTAAGAAAATATCATACAAAGGTTCTTTAAACTGAATAATGGTTTGTGTGTACTGTTTAATAAATAGTGTTTAAGAGAATCAATGTGTCAAATCAATTTCTGTGGTTTTAGTCAGCCAGGCAGTTTTGTTCTTAGAACTCTTCTCTGTTATTGACTGGCACCAAGTAATGCACATTATCCATATGCAAATAAATTATCTAAATTGAATACAGAATTTAAAATGTGTTTTTTTGTTTTTACACATCACTTTCCATATTTACATTTATGAGGGAGATATTTAATTATGTGGCTTTCCCATGTTGGAAGACAAATTGAGACACTTTCTAGAAACTATGTCGTAGATAAAGTCTAATTTTAATAAATAGTTTGGCATTTTGCTTCTTCATGCAGGAAGCAAGAAACTTTCTGGGTCTGAGATGAAGTGACACTTGTTGTGAGGATCTCATTTACACTCTTCAGGGTCATGGCCGCTTCAGAGGAGAGGCCTGGAGGACCCAAGAGGGGAAGGACACATATTTGATTAGATGCATGGTGTCAGCCCCTTGCCTTAGTCTCCTGTGATTCACTTCACCATCTGCAGTCATGTCCAACACTACAGTTTTTGTCTGCAGTAGAGGAGTAATAAGGAAAACAGAACTCTTCATTTTTTAATCCTGCTGTTCAAGCCAGATTATATAGAATTTGACTGAGTACTACTGTGTTTTAGCTTGGGCTGGATGCTTTGTGAAAATTAAGTAATACTAGGAATTGATATCAGGTCTCTATTAATTATCTAAAGTGAAAGGTGTAGCCACTGAAGCACAAATCACAAGTGAGAAGCCTGGTTATAGAGTGAATCTGTATAGAGGGTGTGAGGTCCTTGTGCTCATGAATAGCACTAGAGAAAGCTTGCAGGTTTTTCTCTTGAACAGAAGGGATTTACACCTGTTTCCTGCCCAGAAATCTGGGATTGGATGCAGTTAGCAATCTGTGAGATTTTTTTCTATGTGTAGGGTCAGGCTTCATCCAAATGCCCAGAGATGACCAGTTGTTTTCCAGTCAGTAGAACCCATTCTTATGAAAGAGTCCCATGCAAAAGAGTCTACTATTATGCGTGTTCCAGGTCCCCCCATCTCTAAATCCTTATTCTGAGGATTGCTTTTCAGTGAATAGAGCCTATTCTTATGGAAGAGGTCTCAGGAACTTTGCAAAAGGAGTTTTGATGTAATCATACCTTAAGGTTTATTAGGATTAATATTGTGAGGAAATGTTTTTTCAAAAGTTGTACTATACTTAAATATGTCAAAACTAAACTTCGCAGGGTCAGACTCTTGATGTTTGAACCCAAGCCAGCTAACTAAGACATGTTGAACAAGTCTTCTTGCTTCATGCAGATCATTCCTATGCTGTCTATAGTGTTTGCAGGCACCCACCACAAATCTAGAGACATAGTGTGACCAGTATTACTCAGGGAGGAGGGGCCAGTTCTTTCAAATGAAAAGATCCAGATGCCAGGAAAATTTAGTGTAATATGACAGATGGAATACAGGGGTTTCTGCAATCTTAGGACTGAATCTGAAAACTCTTCAAAGTACCTGTTTCTAATTTTAATGATTCTATTTATAAAAATTTAGAAAATCATATACAAACATGTTAATTGAAAAGTTTGAATGCTTAAGTTTCTGCATTTGCATCACAGTCTCCTTGAAAGAACAGTAAAAATAAAACAGTGATCAATAATTAATATGATGATATCTGCCTTTTTAAAAACTAGGAACAAGAATGTTTTCATACTTGCTTCATGAATGTATTTCATTATCATTTTAAGCAATAACATGTTTATTTATGATACTGTAAAGTATCATAAATCCACTTAAGTTGTGGGGAATCACAACCTACCTCACTATGCAGTACACTATCATAGACATTAATGCCTTTGCTTCCGCAGGAACAAAAAGGCCTTTTGAATTAAAGCATTAACTTCCACAGTGAAATATAATGTAATATATATTATATATGTAATTATATATATAATATAATATAATGTAGCAAGTTCAAAAGGAAGGAGGTAGTGTTCATAGGAATTGGCCATGATGACAGCTCATGGTGAGGTTAAAAATGCATCCCTCAGTACCATCAGAGTGTTTGAAGGTATAAAAACACAGTTTATCTTCTAAATTGTGAATTGGTTTATGATATTTTTCACAAGCATATTTTCTTGTTTGTATCAATGACCCTAGGACTGGTATGTGCCCCATGGTTGTTGTGCAATCAATTAAAATTTCCTTCTACTGTTCCATGAGGCAGAAGAGCTTACTACTATAACTTTAGTTATTTAAAATTCTCTCTTCTGCAGTTTAAATCTTGTTCTATGCTTTGTTTTTGTTGAGGTCAATTTTTTCTCCTAAAGATTATAATTTATTTCATTATTATATGCTCTCTCTCTCTCTCTCTCTCTCTCTCTGTGTGTGTGTGTGTGTGTGTGTGTGTGTGTGTGTGTGTTAATGAATCTCCTTTTGTATGTGAGGACAATTTTAAAAAGAAGACAGTGCTGGTCATTTTCTATAGCTCATGGACCCTGGGCTGACTACTAACCAGTTGTAATGATGGCCTCTGCTTTTTCTGCTTGTTCACTTCTGAGCTCGCTGCTTATGGAGCTGGAAGATTTAGGCTACCATTATTTATACAGATCAGAGCAAATGTAAGATGGAGAGTGAGCTGTCAATAACACTATTGCCTCTACAAACATACTCCAATAGTCTGAAAGAAACTGTGAATTTTATCGTCTATACATAACACTTTAGTGTTTTGCCAGCCAAATTAAAAAATATCTCCATTGTATGGATGTAACTGCAAAATATTTTACTGAATGAGATAACCCAGACCCAGGAAGATGAATGTCATATGTTCTCTCCTATTTGTGGAATCTCTCCTATTTGTGGATGTGAGTAGATAATCTGGAATAAGTGCAGAAATCAGGAAAGTAGAAAGGAAGATAAGGATAAACAGGGAGAAGAGCTTAACCTGAGGAGGATAGAAGAAGAAAACAGAGAAAAATAGCACTAAGAATATTTGAAAAAGCCATAGAAAAACATTGTTTTATAAACTTACTTAAACACACCCATCCATTTAATATAGAGTTAATATACGGTAAATAGAGTTCTGCCACATGAGGTGATAATGGTCCCCATGGAGACATAGACTAACAAAACCTCCAGTCCCAGAGAAGGGGAACCTTCCTTTATGTTGTTGGTCAGGGGGCCCAAAGTATTCTCCACAAATCAATTTAGGCTATTGCCCTTGGTTGTCTCCTGGAACTTGAAGGTAAGACTTGTTGCTGAAGACACTACATACTTTGGACATACGACTTGCTGGAAGTGGCCTGGAAGCCTTCTCCCTGAAGATTAGCTTTTACAGTATCAGAAGGTATATGCAAACTGCCAAGGGAGAGAAGCAATCAACAATTGTACCTGTTTGAAAAACCTATGAATCATAATAATGACCTTTAGGCAATGCAAGATATCCCCTACTGACACTTTTATTTTCAATTCCTTTCTTTCCTTTTTGTGCCTTTATTTCATCCTTCCTTCCTTCCTTCCTTCCTTCCTTCCTTCCTTCCTTCCTTTTTTTGAAACATGGTCTCTCTATGTAAACCAGGCTGCACTCCAGGGTCTGGGGTTCAAGGCATGTGCCATGATGCTGGGCCACTGGCACTTTTATATTAAGGGTACATAATAGTTGTCTGGTTGGACTCAAGGCCCATTCAGTAGGAAGGAATTCATGACCTAGTCAACTCCCCATGACTGTAGAGGTCATAGAGCCTAGAGCGGTGGTTCTCAAACTTCCTAATGCTGTGACCCTTTAATACAGTTCATCATGTTGTGGTGACCACAAACATAAAATTATTTTCATTGATACTTCATAACTGTAATTTTGCTAGTGTTATGGAACATAATGTAAATAATTTTGGAGATAGACGTTTGCCCAAGGGGTCATGATGCACAGGTTGGAAACTACTGTCCTAGAGGAAAACCTGTTACTATCATTTTCCCAAATCAATATAGCTTCTAACTACATTCTAAACACTTACCCATATACACATAGACTTATCTCTCACCAAAGAAGCTTTATTTTGCAAGAGATGGAATCTTGCAAAGACCCACAGCTGGTTAACATTACAAAGAATAAGTGGCTGTGGGGGTGCCCAGCCCTAGTTTATACATGTAGGATACAATCTTTCCTCCTAAGTGTTGAGGAAAACCTGGAAGGACTGTAAGAACCAGAGGACTGGGATGCCTGATGAAAGATAGTGACTTCTACACACAACAGGTTTGCTGCACCCAGGAAATCCCAACAATATAGTTGCCTACACAAGATCTGCATCATGGCCACAGCAGTCAACATGCCAACAAGGATGGGACAAATTTCACAAGACCCACTGCTAGGTGAAGAGCTAGAAGAAAGTCCATAATTGCTGGAGGAGGGATAATCAGTTTTTTTTTCAGGGATGAGGCCCATGAGAGCTTATATAGTCCCATGTAGTCAACCCGAAACAAATGTATGTACCTATGACCAACACTAAGAGGTTTCAGTAAGGATGTGTTGTGTGTGTGTGTGTGTGTGTGTGTGTGTGTGTGTGCATCAATAACAATTATAGAAGATGAAATTGTGAATTCTAGAGGGTGTGGATGGAAGGACACAGGAAGAATTGGAGGAAAATGATGGAAATACAGTGGTTATTCATGTTTAAAATCCATCCCCCACACCACAAAGATTTTAAAAACAATCCTAAAGCTTTCAAAGTTACCCAAACTCTGACTATGAAACACCAATGGATATTTGTCCAGGACTTACTCATAGTTCATTTTATGCTGTTCCAAGGTAGACTGGATAGTTTGAGACTCCTTCTCACTAACTCGGAAATCCACTGTCATATTAGCAGCGACATCATGGGTAGCATCTGGATACCAGAAATCAAGCTGGAAAGACAAGCCCATTGTTAGCTGTGGCTTGTTTGTTTGCCAAACACGTATATATTTAAAAAGCTGTGTGTGGCCATGGACATCTGTAACTTCAGAACTGTGGGGGATAAAAAATGACGATTTCTGGGGCTTGCTGCTTGCTGGGCTCAGTGAGAAATCCTCTTTCAAAGGAAAAAGGCAGAGTGGTATAGACTTTTGAAGACAATTTCTTCTGGCTCCTGTTTACAAATAGGCATCATCATATATGCTCTCTCACACAGGAGGGCATGTATGATGAACCATAAAGTAGTGTAAGGTTCTGTGTAACTAGTAAGCTAAAGTTTTTTTTTTTTTGACAAATATATTTAAGGAGTGTTGAATATCAAGGAGCAGGAAAGAAAATTACCTATACTAACTAATATTTTAGGACAATGCATTTGTCGGAGCAAATCGAAGCAATAACTCCTTTGGTCAATCTCCCTTCACCTCTATCATTTTTGGATGTGAACGAGGTTATTTCATGATTGATTTACCCACAGCTGGCTATAATCTGGCTTTTTTACAACTTTCTGGCTCCTCCCATGGATTTCTCTTTGAATTCTGGAATTTCTGGAAGATTTGTATTTGTCATGAAGTTTTAGTTTTACTATTTTAAGAGTATATCCTTAATCAAGTCATTGGAACTGATTATTTTTCAGTGTGCCTTAATGAAAAAAAATATGGCTAATAGGATTCCTTGGTGAGCACTGTGGATGGTAGTGAAGTGAATATACATCCTTAGACATCCTGAGACTTTCATGAGTGCTGGTTTCCTCTTTGCTATGTTACCATAACTGAAAATTTCAGCAATTTTATGAATAAGTTGACATGGATAGCAGTCTGGTTAAAATAGTTAGAGAAGATTCCAGTTATTGAATTTTTTAAAAAATCACAGTCACTTTTGAAACCAAGGGAAGTACAAATTCCAAGTATAGGGAATGGGAGAGAGATGCCCAGTGTCTGCCTAAGAGATGTAAAGTAGATGCTCAGTCTCCACCATCACACCCCACCTAGGAGACTGAAAGAGATGCCCAGTCTCTATCATCACACTAAGATTGAGGCATGTCCAAGTCACCTTTGATATCTCTTAGTTACATCACACTTTAGCTCTGGACAGTCCATTATGGGACAACAGGAAGCTTTAATGAACCAAACCAGGATGTTTATTTTCTTTGAAACATCATGGCATAAGTTGGACACATCAGGGGTTAATTTATAGGCTATATATTACCATTACACAGCAACAACATTTGTGTTATAACAAGAAAATGTGGAGAAAGAATTTCAAGCTCAAAGAACTGTTGTGAGCATTTATTAAGTAGCAGGCACGGAGGAGGATGCCAAAGAAGTGTCTTACAGGGAAGCTGTAGGAGGTTTTCAGTGACAAACAAAGCTGAATACAAGTATTTTCATTATGTTAGCCAACAGCGGAGGAAGGAGCAGGATGTCCTAACACAGAAAGAGCAAGGCAACTTCCTGCAATATGTATTGACTGATCTGAGTCCTGTAGAAACTCAGGAAGACTCAGTCAGATTTTAAAAAATTAGAAAATAACATTTCTTGTGAGAAAACAGACACAAGGTTGGTGAAATTGTGATGTCTGTGGATCTCTAGGGGCAGAAAACAGAGAGGAGGTGCTTGAGACTAAAAAAAAACAGCCATTGTGGCAAATCATGGAGGACACTGGCCACACCACACCCCACAGAAAATGCTTTAATAGTTCTTTTTTAAAACAAAACCAGAAGCCTGTAGTATCCATTGCTGCTGCTGCTGCTGCTGCGCTCCTGGAGCATGGGAGATTATCAGCTGCATGTTACAGAAGAAGAGGTTGATGCCCTGTGAGCATCTGTAACTTGCCTAAGGCCGCAAAGCCAGTCTAGAGCTAGTATTTGAAGCCTTACATCTGTCTCTGAAGAGCAAGCTGTTCTCACAGACACTTTCAAATTAGGAAGCACAGCTGTCAAGTTTTAAGATCTCCATGAACACTTGGCTCTGTGAGAGGCAGGACTATGCTGGTGTGCTAGAGAAGGAACGCTGGAATTGCTCCAGTCAGAGGCAGGATGGACTTGCCACAGGCAGCTCAGGGGAGGTGATTGAATGTGTGTGAGGGATTAGAATTGACAGAAGTTTGGAATGATTTGACTGGAGAGATGAGTGTGACTAGAATGAAAGCCAGACTTGGTTTGGGGTTTAAGTTTTGTGTGTAATCTTGGCACATAGTAAGTGTAAAAGCACTTACTATGCTTTTACTCCAGGTCCTGTGTTTTAAAGGCATTGCATTGTAAATCTGCTGGTAAATATGAAACAGAAGGAAGGTGACTGGGACAAAATGCCTTGTGTAAAAGGAATGGCTGAACCAATGATAGAGAATGTTCCTTTTTTTTCTGTTGGAGTTTAAGGAACTGCGTTACAGTTAAGAATTCCTTTTGAAAGTGTATCCACTCTCAGCAAAGCTAGCACCAGCCAGTACTTTACTCTCATCAGTTTGTACTTGAACAGAAGTCACCAGGAGAAACTGGAGTGGATGGGCTGATGCAGAATACAGACAGAAGGGAAAGGGGGCAATGAGAAAGGTGCCAAGAATGTCCCTTGTTTTACAGATTTATTAAGAAGCTGTTGTTTGTGAAGTTGGGAGGAAAAGCAGTTAGCTGTGGAAGCAAAACTAAGTGAAGGGTTATCCCAATGGTTCCTGTCATCTCCTCTTGTTTGTCAGCCTTTGGTAGCCCTATGGGCACTGAAGACAAAATAAAAAGAATATCTCTTAGAGAATAGAAAAGAAAGATATAGCACCCCTCCTGAATGCTTTACCTCAATGATCTGGGCCAAGTCCTTCAAGACTCTTGCTTCCTTTTCATCCACGGGTGTCACACGAAATATCTTCTCCCTTCAAGTAGGCAAAAGATAAAAATCAAAGAAGTAAAAAACCCAAACCAAACTAAAATAAAACAAAGATTCAGTGAATTCATTCTCTTCTCAATAGAGACTGGACCAAAGAAGGGAAATTTACCTGTCAAAGCGGACAGGAGCAGTCGCAAGGGTGGTGGAGACAACAACCGTAAGCAGAAAGAACTTCATGGTCCTTCTGGGCTTCATCTGACTTCATACTGGTTTTATAACTCAGCCTTTATCTCAATGAACAGCTGATTTCCTCTGGGGTTTCGAGGGGTAAACTGTCCTCACACCCCGTGTTTTTCAGTTGTGGGGTGGGCAGGCATGTGAATATGCAGACTTCTCTCTTCTTCCTTGATAATAGGAAATATACATTTTTCAGAAAAAGAATACTAGCCTTTCAGTAAGCTTGAATTGAACAGCAGATGAAATCCATTCATATGTTTTAAACACAGAAATATTAATATAGTTAATTTCTGTATGTATGTGTATATGTGTGTAGGGACCAGAGGACAACTTACATAGAGAACAGATTCTATCCTTCCATCATGTGGGTCACTGGGGATTGAATTTAGGCCATGGGGATTGGTGGAAAGTGCCTTTATACAATGAGTCATTGAACTGGTCTCTATCCTAGTCTTAAAACTTACAATTATAACCTGGAATGAATTTGGGTAACTGCTAGAGAACTTTGATGCACAGTCTTAAGTAATGAAACTTTATAGAGTTATGGCCCTTCTCTTCCCTTCCCTTCCCTCTACCTCCCCTCCCCTCCCTTCCTCTTCCCCTTCCCCTCCCCTCCCCTCTCCTCTCCTCTTTTCTCCTTTCCTTCCTCCTTCCTTCCTTGGGGTGGACAAGGTATTGCTATGTAGCCAAGGTTGACCTTGAACTCAGAAACTTCCTGCCTCAGCCTTGTGTTAGGATTACAAGTGTGTGCTACCATGTTAAGCTTGCTTACATATTATAATAATCAAAATAATATTATTGTAGGATGACCTTATTATCCAAGGAAGAGTGAATACTCCATTCAAGAATTTCATGTGTTCTCCCAAGAGTCTTGCCTAAACTCTGAAGATAAAGGAAATTTTTACAAATGCCTTTTGTCTTCATTGGTCAAGGTGGCCAAGGTTAGAAATTCTCAGAGCAAAGGCTTGCTCTGTTACTTTTTCCTGAAGATGTGTTTGACAAGGGCAAACTGAAAAGGAAAGTTTGGTTTTACATTTATACTGATACAAAGTCAGAATGGCTCCTAAACCTCTGCTGTATCAAAGTGAGCATTGTCTTGCCTTGGTTCCTTGTCTGCAAGGAAGGATGCTAAGAAGATGCAGATGGATGATGATGAGGGTTAAGGTGATAGTGTATGTAAGGGACTTGGCATCCGGTAAAGGGCTACGAAGTGTCAGCTCACCTTCAGGTACTATGAACAGAGACTTCCAGATGGCCACTGGCAGGGCAGAGCTGGTTGCTATCAGCATGTACCATGTGGTAGATTCAAGTAGAGACAGCTATAAGCTTTAGGGATGAACTCTGCATTTATGTTGATGTATCCTATTTCAAGAACAGAGCTGTTTGTTTCTAGGCACTTTATCTTCAGATTTTAAAACCTCTAATTGACCACTGAAAATAATTTTGCAAATTATAAGAAAGTAAAAAAAAAAAACCTCTCTTAATTCTGGCAGTATAAGATAGTTTTGAAGCTTTTTAAAAGTTGGTCTTAAAACTCTGGCACTAAGTCTGATGAGCTGAGTTGAGTCTCTGGTAGAAGAGGGAACCAACCGACCTAAGCTGCCCTCAGTGTCTGAGTTTTCCTTGTGTAACATTGGGAAGAGGTTTGATTTTCTTAGGGATCTAGGTGATTTGAGGACAGTGGTAATCTCATCATAGTACTCTGATGATAAACTAAGTGCATTTTGGACCTGCAATATCTATTGCCTGTTGATAACACTGTGTTCTGAGTAATATCTTGGCCTACCATACACTCAGCATCAACCCCCCATCCCCATACACACACAATCCATTTGCCCTTTGAGGTAAAGGAAAATACGTTTCAGGAATATTTAGGAAACTTTCACCCAGAACCTGTTATTCCTTGGCAGGCAGAGTTCAATGTAGCTTCCCATCACCATATCAAAGTTTAGAAAAGGGCTTGTCCTATGTGAAAAACAGGATGAACAGCTGTGACACGTCATGCCATCTCAGAATGGACTATGTCAGATTTCACAGGATAACCAATGAAATTAAAGGCTTATCACTTCCCACAGCAATAAGTTAGGATACTGCTTGATTTTTTTTTTTTTAGTTCTACCTTCCTGCTTTCTAACATTATTACCATTGTTGGGGCCCAAATATAGATTATAATATTTTGGATGCAAGCCTCAGCTTGATTGCAGGAGGTCGAATCTCCCTTTGTCTTTCGGATGTCGGCTGATTACCTCTGGATGCCTGGCCTTGGTGGGGAATGGTTCCTAGTTTGTGTAACAATAGACCTAGGCCCCTGGGTGGACCGGTGGAACTTGCCTGGAAACTAGTGAGGGACTAGTGAGATATTCCCTTGCAGAATGTCCGAGGGCTTGTGTGCCTGCTTTTTGGGACCATCTCTAGGATTAAAGGAAATATTTGATATCAGCTCTATACATGACAATAGACATCTTCTGCCAGCACCCCAATTTTTAGAAAGCTATTTAAGAGATGCTTGAATAAACCGTGAACTCCCACATGAACTGAGAGCCCTGTTGAGATGACAAGATGATTCCTGATCCACACTCTCCCACTCAGGGTCGGACCCTGGGCTGTTTGGCTGGTTCTGATTGCAGCCCCAAAGACATCAGTCCTGAATAGATGGCCTCTGTAGCATGGGACTGATACAGTCCAGACCACTGCAACCATCAAAGGAATGTCACAGAAAGTGGAAGTGAAAGTTTCCTGTGAGTTAGTAGGATCTTTCTAATGATTCTCCTTAAAATTCAATCCAAAGAACTATTAGAATATCTGTAGATATCTCACTAAAGGGTGTTCTAAGGGGAACAGTGCTGGCTTTAATTGTAGATGTTGGATTTATTATTTTTTCCTATGGTGCTAGGGGTTAAACCAAGGTATTAGATTCTGTAATTAAACAATTATATTGACTGATTGTGTGTTTGCATGAATGCCATGTATGGAGATCAGAGAATAACTTGTGGCATTGGTTCTCCCCTTTCACCATGTGGGTTCCAAGGCTTTGTAGCAAGTGTTCTTACCTGCTAAGACATCTCAGTGGTCAATAATGGGTTGTGTTATTAAAAATCAAAACAATCTGGTGAGGCAGCATCTCTTGTTTTGTTTTAAATCTGCTGGCCACAATCATCTGTTCTAAGAAGACAGTGGTAATGTCATTCAAATCTCACCTCTTCCATGTTTTCCCATGGTTCTAAGACTAGTATCTCAAGTTTGAACACAGGTCTTGGCTCTGTGTGATGTGGTCCTCCTCCAACTCCCCAAGCCTTCCTGTGCCTTCTCCAGCAACTCTTGCAATTCCTTATTCACTGACTTTCTTTCATTACCTTTCTATCAAACACAGGAAGTTGTTTGCCACTTTGTACAGCTTATTGTGACTATATCACCCATATCATAGCATGTCTTAAAAGCCTCTCCCCACAGCAGGAAGTACATATTTTACAAGTGCTTTTGAGCAGCCTAGTATAACTCAAATAATTATTTTATTAACTTTTGTTATTTTAGCAATTAAAATAACTAATTAATTTAGTTGATTACTTGTTAAATTTCTGTCTCATCTAATGGCTCATTCTCTCTTATACTCACACACATATATAATCTTGATATATATATATATATATATATATATATATAGGAAATATATATATATTAGGAAAATGTGTGATCATTCTCTTACATTGTCCTTTCTTCAACTGCTCAGTGGAACTCTTGGCATGCTATAGATATTTCATTATGTTGCTTAATGAGCTCAGATGAAACTTAAGCCAAGATGTCACCTTTTCAAGTGTACTAAGTTTTATAATCTTCTATTTCCCTCCATATTTCTTCTTATTCATAAGCTCCCCATTATAGCCATGGTTCCCTGCCAATATAGGTCCACTCCCCAAGGACAGGTTTCTCCATAGCTAATCACACCAGCACCAGCACACAGAAGGTTTGTTCATTGTTCAGTCATGCTCCCTCCCAAAGCAGGAAATCTGGCATGTTTTCTAGTAATGATATGATTTTTATTAGGATGAATTTTAGAGGTCCAAGTAGGTTAGTACACCCAGAAAATTAAAAGAAATATTAGGATCTTCAAAGCCTTCCAACAAACAAAAAAGTCAAGAGAGACCAGAAATGAACAGTGAGCATTTTGAAATAAGGTGCACTGTGATCTTCATTAATACAGATGTTCTCGGACATAATTGGCTATGTACTTGACTGCAAGCATTGTCTCCTCACAGGTATAGCGGATCTGGGACTCAGGAAGGAGAAAGCCAAACGTGCCTGTATCCCGGAGTTCAAAAGTGAAGGAATATTTGATTCCTTGATCATAAGCCCAGTCATCAGAGCCCCCAGCAGCAAGATCTGAAATGAGAAAACAGCAGGGGAAAAGAAATCAGCAGCTTTTCTCTCTAAACTACAAATTCTTCATTGTGAAAAATACTGTGGGTAGGCTAACCAGCTAGTCAAGAGCAAAACAAAGATTTCAAAAAAAAAAAAAAAATAAATCAATCCAATTTTGGCCTAGAATTATTTTGTGAGAATGATCTCAGAAAATACTTTTTAGTGATATGAAACACGTGGTTGGAGAGGGCAGTATGAATAGCTCATTTAAGAATGGGTTTTTCATTATGCAAATCTCATAGGCTCCTGACTATTGTTTTCAAGCTGAGTGAAAACAGATCCTCTTGCTTGCCACCTTCCCATGCAGGCTTTAGCCTGCAACAGCCCCTAGGGAGACACTCTAGAATTCCCAGCCCGCATTAGAACACAGCTTGAATTTATGGCGCTGAAGTGTAACTGAGATTAGACTAATTAATATACATGATAATTAATTCTTTGGGAAAATTAAAAAAAAAAAACTACTTAAGTACAAATAAAATCTAGGAATGTGAAAAAAAAAAGAATGGGTTTTTCTCAGGAAAGCAAGGAAAAATGAATGCTAAGAGGTTTGTAGAGACCTCAGAATCATTAAACTTGGCAACATG